ATGATTTTAATTTTTTTTATTGGACTTGAGGTTAATATAGTTTGGTATTCAAGGAATTTTCTTTGCTTCATTTAAGTTGTCAAATTTATTGGCACTAAGTTGTCCTAATATACTTTTCGTGTTTGAAGAATTTGTAGCTATATGCTTTAAAAAACAAAAACAAAAACAAAAACTAATAGTAATCTGTGCTTCTTAACTAATAGAGCTAGGAGTTAGCAAAGAACCAGTCACCTTTTTGTTATTCACTTGACATATATTTGTCTTTTTTTTTTTTTTTACTTTAGCAGTTTCCACTGTTACCATTTTTTTAGTTCTGCTTTAATATGTTGTTTTTTTTGTTTATAGCAATAATTTAGAATATTAATAGTAACTTTTGAAACATTAGCACACAGGAGTTGTAAATTTCTAAGTGTCTTTATAATCTGATAGTTTAGTTATCACTTAGTTCAGTATATTTTAAATTTTTCTTATGACTCTTTGACTTGTATATGTTTTAGAACTATGTATACTCATATTTGGAAAATTGCAAGTGGCTTTATTATTAATTTTTATTTTAATTTGTAGTCAGAAAACATTTTCTGTGTGAGTTCAGTTCATATACATTTATAGTCCTGTACATATGTGTTGAATGTACCAAGAGAAATGCACATTTGATTTTTTTTTAAATGTAGTTGGTTGTAGTACTCAGTTAATCAAAGTTGGTTTATAGTATTACTCATGGTTACATGTCTTTACATGGTTAAGTCTTTAACCATGTCTTCTCTTGGTTGCATGTTTATAGTATTACTCATAGTTACATGTCTTTCCTGAGTATTTGATCTACTAATTTACTGTTGTTAGGAGGTTTTGAATCTTGAAGTATAATTGTGATTTATCTACTTTTTGTTTGCTTCCTGTTGAAATTCTTACTGGCTTCATAAACATTTGTAATTATTTTTTATTTCTGAAAAGTTGACACTGAGTATTATGAAATGTCAATTTTTTTCTGGTAATAGTTTCTCTCCTGAATTTTTTTTTCCCAGTGGAAACCAGGTGGATGACCTAATTAATTTTATGTCTGATACTCTGTTCTACCCCGTTGCAGGCTCACTCCTATTTAAGCCTCACTTTAGATGCTTGCTGCAAATTCCAGGTTGTGTGCTCTCCCTCCTGCCTCCTCCCTTTTTCTTTTCTTTCCTTCTCTCTCTCTCTCTCTCTCTCTCTCTCTCTCTCTCTCTCTCTCTCTCTGTCTTTCTCCCTCTCTCTCTTTCTCTCTCTCTCTCTCTCTCTCTCTCTCTCTATGTTTGTGTGTGTGTAAGGGTTTCCCTGTGTAACAGAGCTCTGGTTGTCCAGGGACTTTGTAGACCAGGCTTGAACTCAAAGGGATCTTCCTGCCTCTGCCTCCCAAATGCTGGGATTAAAGGTGCACACCACCATTCCCAGCTGTGGTCTCTATTGCTGAACAACTGGCATGGGCTACCAGATTTGATTGCTTTGCTGGAGCAACCTGCAGAACTCAGGGGGTACTTTTTGTTTACCTGTTACACATGTTGAATATTTTTTTTTATCAAGTCTTTCAGATCTTAGATTTTTAAAGATTTCATGATACTTGTGTGAATGTAAGGTAGTATCTTGGGGAATGAGATATCATTCTGAGCATAGAAGTCAGTTATGTTTGATATCTTATATACAATTTTATATAAATTTCTACAGTATTTTGAATATACCCATGTTATTAATTCAACCTGTTATCTGAGAATAGGTGTGGAATTTTCTGCTTCTGGAGTCCTATTAGTACTCAAAATGTCTGATTTTTGAATATTTGAATTGGGTGCTAGTCTGTGAAGGGTGTTATGAAGACTATTGCAGAAAGTACAGATCAAGGTATGTGGATAGCACAGGGAGCTCTGTGGACATGCTGTCCTCCAGACCCCCGTGTGTCTAGTAGTCTATCCTTTGGGGTTTTAGAGGATTACATTACTTAGGTATGATTTAGTACATCTTTAGCTGTTTGGTGACTAACTTACCTTGAGCCTTTTTCTCCTCAAATGTTGGTAAAATGGGAGAAATCAAATTGTATTTTTATGATTATTTTAATCATGATTTGGTCTGTTTTAGGTGACTAGTTACCCCAAGTCATCTCATTATCACTCCAGAGATTCCAAGAAGTTAAGCTTTAGCCTGAGAGCCAGGAACAAAGAACAGATATGACATATTTATTTCTTAGTATATTGTAGTCTCATTTCCAGTCATGTCATTAGCCTATATTGTCTTACATAGTTTAAATTTTTTTACTTGTTTATTCAGCTAGGGCATTGATTGAAGTGTGGTTACTACATGGCACGTGAAATGATCCTTGAATGTACACTTTGGTGTCACTACTTTACTAGTTGTTTGACTTTCGCAGTTGATTCTTTAGTATTTCATTTCCTCTTGAGGGTAAAAATAGGACAGTAGTGACTTTTTTGGCCTTTTTTTAGTTAGTAACACTTACTGTGTTGCGGTTGTTGTATTAGGCCTTGCAATTTCAACCCCTTCCCTCCAACAGTCTCTCTTTCCCTGCTGCTGTTTTCTTAAGGGTTTTCCATTAACTTACCATATTTATTCCTTATTTATCTTGCAGTAAGCTCTTTTCCACTAGGATATAAGATCTTCGAGGTGAGAAAAAAAGGTAGAGATTTATCTCTAGAACTTAGAAAATATGTGGAATACGTTAGAGTTCCATTAAACATATTCTGAATGTTTTGACTTGAGTGTTGATATTGACTTGCCACTAAAGATATAAAAATGAGTGGTGTGCAAAGATCTTTAAAAAATTCATGTATAGTATAATAGTAGAGATTTAGATTTGCAAAACTTTAAAACTTTTGCTCATTTGAATTTATGATAATTATAAGGTTTTCTGGAATTGGTCTGACTGATGGTATCATTGAACCATATATTTATTTGATCCCTATATGAGACAAAGGGGAAGGTCATTTCCTGGAAGGGGTAAAAGTGTAAAGTTACAGAGCTTTGATAATTTAGGCAATGTTTGTAGTCCCAGTTATGGACAATATAGATAAGTGGTCAGTAGAGGGAGATAGGGCTAGCAATTACAGAGGTGCAGGTTATTCTCAGCTAGTTGAGGCAGTGAGTTTTGGGGATTTAGTTAACTTTATTCATTCATTCATTTATTTATCTATCAATCTATCTATGTAAGTATCTATCTATTTATTTATTTATTTTGAGGCAGGGTTTCTCTGTGCAGTTCTGGCTGCCCTGGGATTTAGTTAATTTTATTTATTCTTTCATCTATCCATCTATTTATTTATTTATTTATTTATCTATCTATCTATTTATTCATTCATTCATTCATTTATCTATCTATCTATTTATCTATGTAATTATTTATTTATGTATTTATTTAGAGACAGGGTTTCTCTGTGCGGTTCTGGCTGTCCTGGAACTCACTTTGTAGGCTAGGCTGTCATCACATTCAGAGATCTGCCTGCCTCCCAAGTGCTAGGATTAAAGGCTTCTGCCATCACCACCTGACTTTCAGTTAGATATTTTATGATAACTGTCCAAAGTAGTAAATTAAAATTTGAAGTTAGTTTTTGATAGTGTGTTTCATTATAGATCATTGTAAAATAATTATAAAAACTTGATTTTTAATACTGCCTTTAGAAATTATTTGAGAAGTATGACTAAAACATGAATAATAGATTTTCTATAAAATTGAGGAGCAAATTTTTATATATGTACCATGATGTATTAAATTTTAGTCAGTTACTTACCATAACAGAAGCTGCTAAACTTTTATCTCCACTGTGACATCCAAAGCAGACACTAAAAATAACTCTTTAGATGGTGGACCCATAGAAATATCACTCTAAGTTACTGGATTAAATTTGAGAAATCTTTTTTATTTTCGATATTTTAATATATTAGGTTAAAGCCCCAACTTTTCTTTAAAAAAAAAAAAAAAAAACAAGCTTCTTACTACCTTTGCTAGGAAAAAGAGGCTTCTTTGTGTGTCTTCTAATGTCTGAATGTTTGATTTAGTTTGCAAATATAAAAACAGTACTTGGCAGTTTGTGTGCTTCCTTTAATGGATGTGTCCCTTTCATAATAGAAACAAAAATCATGAACTCACAACAATTAAAACTGCTGGATTAGATTCTTAACACTTGATTTCTTCAGAGACATGATCCATTTTCATTAGATGAAGTAGATTTACTTGGGGATTAGTTGAATTACCTAATATTTTACTATTAACACTACAGTGTTGATCCTGGTTCCTTGAGGTGTGAAGTGTGGTATGATTTAACCATCTTTCCTTTTTCACTCAGATGCCTTGCTACTTTCTCCAGGTGCAAATGTCAGGACCAAGATGTTCTTCATGCACCTAAAAAAAAAAAAAACCTGAGTGTTTTTTTTTTTTTTTCAGTTGAGCTGAATTACTGAAAGCAATATTTTCTATTCACTTCTGTCCTTATAGATCCTGTTTTTTTGTTTGTTTGTTTTTCCACTCTAAAAGTTGGCTGGTGAAAGTATAGGTATGCATCTTGTATTGAAACACAGACATTTGTCTCTAGTGTGTTTTCCTTTTAAAAACAATACAACTATTCGGACTCCATTAAACTAGTTTTTTTTTTTTTTTTAAACTGCAGTTAATGAGTTCAATAGGCTGTATATACAGTGCAGTTAGTATAAAGATGCCATATGGTAGAGAATAAGAAAATAGGACTAGGAGCCAGTTTTGAATCACACACTAGAGCTATTTCTGAGTATTTAAGCAATATTTCCTAAAAAAAATGGGTGTGACATTAGACACACTTTATTGGCTGGTGTTTTATTAGCTAAATAAAACAAATGCCTTTTGCCAATTGAACTTTGCATCATTCAGCAAGTATTTTTGGAGCTATCTACAAGAATGGTATTGAGTATTAGAATTTTGTAATAACAATATGTCTGTTTAATTCTCTGAGATTTAAGAATAATAACCTAGCTCCTTTCTTTATCCTTTTCTTTTTAAGGAATTGCATCTTGTAGAAAAAGAACAAAGAAGAATTTTCTGCATCAAATGTAAGAGTAACTGATGTTTAGTAAGATATTTTTTCTTTTACCATGGTGAAACATTTCCTAAAAATTATTTTTGTGACCTTGGATGGCAATAATTTTAGAGTTTATCTGAGGGATTAGTTTAGATCAATTTAAGAAATGTGTAAGATTTCACTGAAATGCATAATATTGAACATATTAAGTTTTCTTATTTTATCTGGCCTTTCTAAGATAACCTTAAAATTTTCAACTCATGTACTTCCGTGTAAAATGTTAATAATATATTTTTATTTGAAAATACCAGTCTTTATTAGAATATTCCATTTTCCTGTGATAATAAGTAGAAAAAAAATAAAAACAAAATAAGGCTAAAGGACATGGATTAAATAATCTATGGGAAAATTTTCAAGTAAAAATTCAAAGGAATTTTAGCCATGCCTCAGAAGTGAATGTCAAAGAGAAAAAGAGAATACATCTTGGGCTGTTTAGAGGATTGATTATTTTATGTGGCTTTGAAGTTGTTGCCTTCATAAGCTCAAATTTACAAAGGTATGGACTAAATTATTTTGATCATATCGGCCTAGGGAAGTACTTACTACTTAGTAAGCTAGTGAGATATATAGTCCTCAGATGTTTTCATCAGTAAAACCTCATCTGAATTTTTATTTAAGGTAGAAGAAACAAATTATGTTAATACCAGATTATTTAAAAGTAAGTAATTTTGAAACAGTAATGGATTAATAGGGCTTGTTCCCAATAGTTACAGTAAAATCTTGGGGAAAGTATGTTAATTGTGGGCTTTTTTTTTTTTTTTTCAAATTTGTTTTTGTTTTTTATTTTCTTTGTCATTTCAAGAATACTTTTTCTGCTGGGCATAGTGACACACCTCAATTCTACCACTAGGGAAGCTGAGGCAAGAGGATCATAAGATCCTTGCCAGAATTGTCTACTTAATGAGACCCTGTCTTAAAGGGAATACTTTTGCTATTTAATAGTGCTAAGGTGTATTGTTTTAAGTAATCCAATGGCAGAAAGAATTGATTTTTATGTTACAGGCATATCACTTTCTTCTGGCTATACATTAATAATTTTTTTTTTTTTTTATAATTTGACTCCAGAACAACCCATTCTATGATAGTTGTTGGTCTAAGAAACAAGAGAAAGTGCTTGTTATTCCAACTGAAGCAAAATGTCCTCCACTCTGAAAATTTCTTACATGCAGTGGGCTGATAATAAAGTCCAATTCTCATTTGAAACATAAACCCTATGTAATAGTCAATAAGTCTTTAAATTTAAAATTTCTCATGTGTTTTGTTTTTTGACTTCTCAAAATGGAGGAAGGTAGCCATTCTCCTGTTCATTTATCTTAGTGATTGATGGCTAAGAGTGTGACTTCATCTGTTACAATTTGAGTCTTATTTAGGTTACAGCCAGTGGTCTGCTGCTTCTTCCATAAGGCTGGCTCACAGAGTAGAGGGTCTTATTCACAGCCACATTTCTGGGGCTCAGTGGGTTTTATTTGAATTAAGACTTGCTTAGGAGTTACTGAAATATTTATTAGATGGAAAATGTTTTAAAGATACATATGCAGACTTTAGAGCCTCAGATTAGGAATTTTTCTTCTAATTCTGAATAGAAAATAGAGGTTTTCATGGGGATTGTGTACAACAGTTTTAAAAATGGTTTCTTGCCTCATACCATAGGACATTTTTGAACTGTCAGATTTATGTTTGCAATCATTTTTGAGTTCTTTTTGTATATAGTGTGAGATAAAGGTAATAGTTTGTTTTCTTAAATATGGTTACCGTATTTTTCTAACAACTTTTAAGAAGACCATTTTCTCCTGTTGAATTATTTTGATGTTTTTGATAAAAATCAGCACATTATTATCTATGGGCCTGTTCTGGATTTTGTTCTATTCTGTTGATTTGTTATTCTTATGATAATGCTGCACTATCTTGATTATTGTAGCTTTATAGTAACTATGGAAACAAGTAATATTAGCTGGGTATAGTGGCCTTTAATCTCAGTACTCAGTAGGCAGAGGCAGGTGGATCTCTGCGAGTTTGAGGACAGCCTGGTCTATAGAATAAGTTCCAGGATAGCCAGGGCTACATAGTGAGATTCTGTCTCAAAAACAAGAAAACAGACAAACAACAACGACAAAACAATATTACTTCCCAGCTTTGCCATTTAATTTCAGAATCATTTTCTCTGCTCTGGTGCTTTCTATTTTTCTCTCTGTGGTTTAGTATTGGCTCATTAGTCACTACATAATGACTGATGGAATTTTGATTATGAGTGCTTTTATACTATGGATCCATGATATTGAGTCTTCCAAATGGTATCTTTTTCTATTTAAGTCTTCTTTCAAGATCTTTCTCAACAGTGTTTTATAGTTTTCTTCTTTTTTTTAATTAAATTTTTTTTTTAATATTAGTTACAGTTTATTAACTCTGTATCCCAGCTGTATCCTACTCCCTCATTCCCTCCCAATCCCACCCTCCATCCCTCATCTCCTCCCTGCCCCTTTCCAAGTCCACTGATAGGGGAGGTCCTCCTCCCCTTCCATCTGACCCTAGCTTATCAGGTATCTTTAGGACTGGCTGCAAAGTCCTCCTCTGTGGCCTAGCAGGGTTGCTTCTCTCTCAGGTGGGCAGGGGAGGGGGAGAGGGCAAAGAGCCAGCCATTGACTTCCTGAACAGAAATGGTCCCTGTTCCCCTTACTAGAGAACATACTTGGATACTGAGCTACCATGGGCTACATTCCGAGCAGTGGTTCTAGGTTATATCCATACGTGGTCCTTGGTTGGAGATATAGTCTCACAAAAGACCCCTGTGCCCAGATATATTTGGTCCTTGTGGAGCTCCTGTCCTCTCCAGGTCATACTAACTTCCCCTTCTTTCATATGATTCCCTGTACTCTGCCGAAGGTTTGGTTATGAGTCTCAGTATCTGCTTTGATACACTGCTAGGTAGATTCTTTCAGAGGCCCTCAGTGGTAGGCTCCTGTCCTGTTATGTCATTTGTCCTACATCCAATGTCCATCCCATTTGTCTTTCTAAGTGAGGGTTGATCATCTTACCCAGGGTCCTCTTTCTTGTTTATCTTCTTTACAGATTTCAGTATGTTTATCCTATCTTATAGGTCTAGTACTCAAAAAACTCAAGTGTTTTGTGGTTTTCAATGCAAAGGCCTAATACCTAGTTATTTCAGTATTCTCTAATCTTTTTTAAAATGTTAGTGTTAGTTTCTAACAGTTTGTTGCTAATAACACAGGAGAACACTTGATACCTACATAAGATTTTGTAATTTGTCCTTCTGTAAACTTGGTGCTATTAGATGCTTTAGATTCCTTCAGATATTCTGTGTAGATCATCCTTTATATGGTAAAGATTATTGTTCCCTCCCTTTAATTTGTTTGTTTCTTTTTGCGTTTTTTATTTTGTTGACTAACCAGTGCATTGTTGACTAGAGATGGTGAGAACTAACATTCTTCCCTTATTTCTGACCATAGGTAGATCACCTTCAGCCCTTTTACCAGCTCCTGTTGATCATTCTTTACTTATCGTGAATGGGTGGTAGAGTTTTGTTAGCTGTTTGGTTTGGTTTGGTTTGGTTTTCAATTTATTGAGCTATTTTTGTCTTTTTGAATGTCTCAGTGTGTTTGTCAGGTACATTAATATTAGAACATTGAAACCACTAATCATGAGTTTTTGAGGTAATTCCTTTTATTTTTGTATATTACTGGATTGATTTTTAAAATTTGTTAACATTTTTCTTTTGTGTTTATTGAGTTCTAATTTTATTCTTTTCATATATTACATCCTGACTGCAGTTCAGTTGCCCCTCCCTCCAGTTTCTCCCCCCAGATTTTATTTTTTTTGTTGTTGTTGGTTTTTTTTTTTTTTTTTTTTTTTAAATATTTGAGACAGGGTTTTTCTGTAACTCTGAGTGTCCTGTAGCTAGCTCTGTCAACTAGGCTGGCCTTGAACTCAGAGATTCCCCCTCCCTCTGCCTCCTGGGTGTTGTGATTAAAACTATATGCTGCTACCAGCTGGCTTCTTTTGTATTTATAAAAGACCTTGGCTGGTAGAGATTTTTTTTTTTGTAAGTTTTTTTTTTTTTTTTTTTTTTTAAAGGGTATGTGTGGTTGTGTATGCCTGTGTGCCTAATCAGAGTCCAGAAAAGGCCATCAGCTGGCCTCCTTCGTCAGTTTATATCTATTCTTTTGAGGCAGGGTCTCTTCCCCTGATCCTGAGGCTTCCTTGAGAAGGCAGCAAGCTTCCTCAAAATCCTACTTATTACTTTGTGATGGCTAGGCTCACTCCATAGATGCTGGGTTTTGAACACGAGTCCTCATGATTCAGAGCATGTACTTAGCCACTGAGCCATCCCTCCAGCTCCTATTCTATATTTTTGTATCAGGTTAGTGCAGGTCTTATTTTCTTTCTGGAAATGTTTGTGAAAAATTCAGCCCTCCTTCTTTATTAAAAGAAAGTTGGTGTTTAGAAAAGATTATTTATTTATAGTGCTGGGGATTAAACCTAGCCCCTTGCTCATGTTAGACAGCTGCTCTACTAGCCACCTCTCCAGGATATGAAAAGGTTTTAATTTAAGGTTAAGAATAGGCATTGAAAAGGAGAGAGTAGGCTTGTGTGTGAACATACATTTAATCTTGAGTTTGTTTTCAGATTTTTCCTTCTGTTGTATGTTTATTTACATTGAATTATAAGATACAAAAATTTGCATTGTGGAGTTTTCTATCTATTTTCTAAATATTTACTTAAATTTCCAGATATTTTCTCTAATTTAATTCTGTTGTGTTCCAAGAACATGCAGTATAAGACATCTTTTTTTTTTTTTTTTTTTTAAGTTTTGACATTTATGAGAAGGCATAGAAAAATGGACTGCGGTGGTGAATGTTTTAATGTATGCTAAGAAGAATGTTTGAGTAGAAACTTCTAAAAGTGATAATTAGGTCAAATTACTTGAGTGTTTTTTTTAAACACTTCAAGTATTCA